ACTGAGCTATATCCCCAGCCCAAAAATTTTATTTTTTTTTCAGGGCTAGGGATCAAACCCAGGGCCTCGTATATGCTAGGTAAGCAGCTCTACCACTGAGCCACAACCCCCGCATGAACAACATTCTGCCAAAAGTGCAGCTCACCCGATTCCCTGACTGAGCAGGCATTGCATTTCAGAAGGCTGCCCATGGAAAAGGACACATAGTCTCGCAGCATTAGGGCAGGCTCAGTGCTGCTAACATCAGCTCCTAATTGCATTCCCAAGCATAATCTATCAGCCTTGTACTGTAGCTTGAGGAAATTTTGGCAATAGGCCAACTACTTTTTGGGTTCTGATTATGTGGTTCTGATTTTATTTTTGGGTTCTGATTATGGACAAATGTTGAACATTTTTCATAAATATTCTAGTGAGCACTTAAGACTGCTTATCAGATGCTTTTTAAAATTCAAGTCACGGTGGTAGAAGTAGGTGGTGACTGAAAAATCGCAGATCTCATGGTCCAAGGGTCCTCAGAAGTGCTTCAGTCCAACCTTCTCAACTCTACCGTAACAGTAGTCCTCAGGCCAATCCCTCCAGTGATCAAAAATCTGATAAAATGATTCATTTTATTTTTACAGTTATAAAAAAAGTTACATTTTATACTAAGGTAATGTTTGAAACTGTACTTTCAACCCCTAGTCCTAGTCCCAAAAATTTTAACATTTCTTTCAAGAATGATACTTTTTTTTTTTTTTTTTTTTTTTTTTTTTGTTTTTCTCCGGTACCGGGAACCGAACTCATGACCTTGCGCCTGCCAGGCACGCGCTTTTGCCACTGAGCTAAATCCCCAGCCCAAGAATGATACTCTTTCAAGAGATAGACCTTCAAATACAATAGCACCATATCCAACAGTATCATATCTACTTCCCAAGAATTCTTTTACACTTGTTCCCTAAGGATATACCAACAAAACTCTGAATAAATCTATATAAGCAAGCTATGCTAGTTATTCAATATTCTCCAATGAATACTACCAATTGCAGCAATGGTAAATACATTCTTGGTCAGGATTCCTATTTACAGAATAGAAAACAGAATATCCCCAACCTAGCACATATATTCTTTTCCTCAGCTTCAGTAACCCCTGATTAATGACCTCCACTTGCAAAGGAGGCTACTTACCTTAACCATGAAATAATGAATGCTATTGATCCAACAAGCTACTGCTATAGAGTGTTATTGATCACCCAATCTTTGGTTAAAATGGTCCTCATTTAGCAATTTCACTGTCACAAACACCTGCAGCAAAGCATACTCATAATTAAAGAGTTTGGGGAAGTTAAAGTGAGAGGTGATGGACAGAAATCTCAGCTTTCTCCCATTTATTCTTGCTTCTGAGCTATTGTTTGTGTCAGAAGGGATATTGATTTTCTATAAAAATAAGAAAACAAGAAGCACCAAGAGGCCTCAGAAGGTCAGCTTGGGCTGGAAAAGGAGGGGGAGGTTTAGCACTCTATCTCTGTCACTTGCCTTCCAAGAGAAGGGAGTATTTTCTTTTCTGTGAGAACAGCCTCTAATATATCACTGTGGGAAGGCTTCTGAATGTGACTTCAGGCCATCACCTAACCAATTCATTTATATAAGAAAAAGAAGCTAAGCAGTATTAAAGGAGAACAAACAAATGATGTGTTAGTGAAGAACAGAGCAAAAAGAGACAATGGTCATCTAATTAATAGCTGCTATACAGACAGTTTAATTAAAAAATCTGCAGAAAGTAATTGTACAAGTGTTGCCCCATTTTAAAGTATCCACAAAAACACACACAAGGAAAAAATTAAAATAATTGTTCGATTTTTAGGCAGACACTTAAAAAGAGCTATACACTATAATCATTTTCCTCAGAACTTGTAAGGGATTGGTTAGTACAGAACTGAAGAAAGAACAGAAAGAAAAAAGCACACAAAAAATACCAGTTAATCTTTCAAGTACTTACTTGTCTAGTCAGCAAAAAAGGGATTTAAGGAAACTAGAAATAAAGCTGATTGAGACATACTTTCTCAAACCTAAAATATCTTTACACGCTTTTTAAAACTAACTATCTAGGGCTGGGAGTGGTGGCCCATGCCTGTAATCCCAGCACTCAGGAGGCTGAGGCAGGAGGATCTTTGTGAGTTCGAGACCAGCCTGGACTACAAAGTGAGCTCAAGGCCAGCCTGAACTGCATAGCAAGACCCTGTCTCAAAACGACAAAAAATAAATAAATAAATAAATAAATAAAAATAAAAATAAAACTATCTACTGATTAGGTCAATTTAAGTTTAATGATCAACTTCACTGTAATTTTAGAAAGTGGATCATGACTCTGATAACCCTCAATACCACTAATAAAAATACAACTCTACACTTTGGTCTGCCTATAAAGAAACTATAGCATATTTAAGCAGATGTATTAAATAGTAAACAAGAGGATTCCTCAAAGTATTTCCTCTAATGTAGGGGAAAAAAATTGACAGAATCAACTCACCAAGATGGAATAATATCCAAATCATACCCTATTAGCTACTTATACTCTAATGCTAGCCTTTTAGATAAGGTATGCTTAATAACTGAAGGAAGGACTGGGGGTTAGCTCAGTGGTACACCACTTGCCTAGCATGCACAAGGCCCTGAGTTCAATCCCTAGCATTTGCAATATATAAAAATGAATCATAATTGAGGGCAGCTTGAAAATTAAAAGATATTAGTTCCACTTTACTGTTGAAGAGAGTCTGGACATAATATGAAGTCAAATAAGAATCATCCCTCTTTGCCCACAGAAGAGATCAGGCAGAAAAAAACAAAGCATTTCTGTTTGTAACTACACATAAAGGAAGACAAGTCAAGGGCAATTTAGGACTCCTGAATAATTAGATTTTAAAGATTTTTTTTTTCTCATTTTCTGTCTGCTCTTACTCCGTCCACTATTCCATCATAGCTACAGACACTAGTACCATATTACTCAAGGAACTCTGAGTTACAGGCCAGGGAAATAGACCAAACTGGAAAAAGAGGTCTCCTTAACTTAAAAAGGAAAGAAATTCAGAAGAACTCCTGTCTACTTCAATTTCTCCATGCTCTAAGATAACTAGAATTTATATTACAACCACTTCACTATAATAGAAGGTCTGGGATAAGGAAAAGAGAAACTAAAGCATCTCACTGCTAGACCACTGGCTCTGCATTTGCAGAGGTATCTTAGAGAAGACAGTTAACAGTCTCTAACACACACAATTATTTCACAGCTTAACAAAAAATTCTGGGAAAGAAATACACACAGTGACACAGAAATATACACAAACTATCATTCCAAATGCTTATTTTTAAAATCATCATTCTCAATCATACAATTACAAGGTATATATATTCAATATTGAAACAAACTTGAATACCTCAACAGAGGGTTTCAATATCCTGAAAGGATACAAGCTAAGCAATTCTTATTTGATTAAAAATAGTATAAGGAAAAAGATACCTTTATAATCCAAAAATATATAAATAAATTGAATAAATCAGCCTTAGAAGGAATAAGCTTAGAGGAAAACTAGGAAAGCCAAATTGTAACTATAAAACAGACTTGCAAATACAAAGTTAGTAAGAAAGCTGTGCTAAAAACCATCCATAAAGGTAGTGACACAGGGACCTACACAGCTTGTCCTGTTAGTGACACAGCCTCCCCTCTGAGTATCTAAGATTTATGTCTCTGTTTTTAAGACAAACTTCTGAAGAAGCAAAGTCCTAAGAAGGGTCATATGCTCTACAGTTGTAAATGTTAAAATAAAACAGAAAAAGGACCATGGAAAAGACAAACACAAAGGACAGCAGAACATGGTGAATTATGAGCTGTGATGTTAGGTTTGCGTCTCAGTTTGGGCACTGGGTGACCTCGGTCAAATTATCTAAACTCTCTTCAACCTGTTTCCTCTTCTATGAAATACAAATAGTAAAATTCTACCATACAGCAGAACTGTGAACATTAAAAAGTATCCAGTAAATGTGCAGTATAGTGTTTAACAGATGCCAACCAATGTTAATTAACAATAGTAGAGTACACAACCCACCTAGGGGTTACCCTTATGGGACATTCAGGTTGATTCCATGAAGAAGGGTAAGAATACTGATGAGATGCTAAATATCCTGCAGTGCACACAAAGAACAATCTCACCCAAAATACCAACAGGATCCTCACTGAGAAAGTGATATTAAAGATTAATACCAATAATATTAAAGTAAAAAAGTTGGAGAGTATCAATGCTCCTGTGAATGAGACAGAAAAATTAAGTTATCAAAAGCTACACTGAAAAAAAAAAAAAAAAAGCTACACTGACAATTGAAACATCTATCCATTAAGAGACAAGTTTCTCTGGCCTGATCATATTTGGTGTAAGATTAATGACACCTGGCACTGTTATTTTCAAAGTCCAACAATGTATTCAGGTAACCTGAATGTCTGTCCCTAAAAAGTATACTCATATAGTCACACAGAAGTAGCAGAGAATAGAAGTATAGCCCCAGATACCTAAACCCACCATTCTTAAAGTGTGGCTTACCAGGAACATTTATAAACTGCATTTGTCTGGCTCCTACACATTTCCTTTCTCATATATACTATGTTCACCAGCCTCTGCTAAGACCCTTGTTCTGAGGAACAATATATGTTTGTGGACTATATGGTATAAACAGCAGCAAATTGTTTTTAACTTCTTGGTTATGCATTTGAGATGTATAATTTTTAGACTCAAACTGTTTCTATTACACATAATAGGAGACCTTCTTGAAAAGGAGACCTTCTTGAAAAAGGAAACAGAATCATAAATGCTACTTTAAAAACTAGAGCTCAACTTCTGATTAATTAAAGGAAGGCTACGAAGTCAATACCAGAGTGGCTGGTCTGGAAAAAAGTGGAACTCATCAAGAGACTGCACTTGTACTCAGGGTAAAATTAATTAGGAAAATCTCTGACTTAGCGAGGGAGATCTCACCATTCTGACATGTTCTCATCAGAGCCCTGTTTTTGTTCATCTGTTTCACATTCCATTCTTTCTTTCCTTCCCGTTTTGCTTAGGAAAGTCCTATTTTCTGCCGATTCACACAACCCATGGCCTGATGAGGTCCAGGGAGTATTTTCTTTCCAGCGAGACAGACGCTGCTTCTTAGCAGACTTAAACCTGCAGCCTCGCTCATAGCTCCAATCTGACACCTTCAGCTTCTGCTGAAGGCTGGCAGCCACCTCTGAAGTCACTCGCTTCACCTTCCGCCGGCGCCTGAGTGGTCGACAAGGTGCATTTTCAGTAAAGGAGTCAGATTCATGCCAAGAATGCTGCTTACTCTTAACAATGGCATTGAGAGCTGGGTGCTGTTTGGCTACCATTGTGTCATCAGAGTCACTAAAATTGGTGACTGGGGCAACTTCTCGACAATCCTTAATAGCTTCATCCAGACTGGACTCAGAGGCCTCGCTGTAGCAGCAGGTGTGCTCTGCCAGGTGAGTAAAGTCAGACCGGCGCTTCCGACCTCGGCGTTTCCGAAGCTGCCGTCTCTGCTGGCGAGGGCTCAGGGCCATCTCTTCCCACAGCTCACCAAGCTTATTCTGCTCAGATGTCTGCTCCAAGGCTGAGGCTAAGTCATGCACCAGCTCATCCATGAGGGCCACATCTGCCAAGAAAAGGTTCAAAAATTTAAAAAAATAAAGCCTGAGTAGGATCTGTTGTTTTCAAATAATTTTATAAAATAGATTAAGGAGAGTCTTGCCCATGTATAGAAAATAAAGATGCTTTGCAACTGGATACACCTAAGACTATGTTCCTATCATCCATGCTCCCTTAAGCCACTAAAAAAATAGGTATTTGACCCCTATTACATGCCTGATACCAACATGTTAAGCACAAAAACTCAACTACTCACAAGATAACTGAGATACTAGCAAAAACAAACAAACTCTGGAATAAATCTTTTCCCAATTAAACTTACTATTGAATTAAAAGGTGATGAGACCCCAAAATCGTCAGAGGAACAGAAAAACACACAATTTTAAACCCATGGCAGAGTTGGGAGCACACAGGGTGCAATCCAGTAGCACCACGGTACTGGCATTGGAGTCTGGGTCACTGCTCAGAATGCATGTGGCAGGGAACAGAAAGACCTAAGTAACACAAATAAGGAAGACTGCTCTCAGTTTAAGAGATCCAAGAATCTGTGGTGATGGGGGTGTACCGACTGCCATCTGGAAGCTACTAGATACAGAACCTTACCTGATCATCCTAATTATGTGCTTCAGTGCTGCACAATCCCACCACATACATACACACACAAACACATACACACAACACAACTGAAGCCGAAATGATGGGGATGGGGTGGAAACTAAGGTTTCTAGCTAACTGCTTTTCAAAATTTCCTGTTTTTCTATTTACTCATGAAACCATCACACTTCAGAGGCAAACCTTTCAAGGGATAGGAGTAGTAGAAGCAATTTTTAAAATTTCCTTTTAAAAAGAAATGTAATCTGTGCAACACCTAATAAAGTACATAACAAGTTAGCACTTTCTGGCTAGCCCAAAGTAGTTCAAGACCATAATTAGAACTCAAAACCCTCAAAACCCTATGTAGCTTGCCACTCTCAGATCATATTTTTGTTCATGCAATTTACATTTTGCAAAGGGCTTTCAAAAATCTGTTCTTACACCGACTCCACGCCAATGAATTCAAAAGCAGGAAAAGTCTGGCTTATGTGACATATCTATGGAGACACCAAGTTCCAGAATGACCACCCAAGCAAAACTTCCAAGTGTCAAAAGCCACATAAATTAAAAGATCATGCCTCTTTAATACGCAGTTTAAGACTCCTGCTGGGGTGAGTACTCTTCCTATGACCAAAACAGATACAGAACTGGAAGTAGCATGTACAAATCAAGTAACGTTGTTTTAAAACTCGGGTAGAATTGCACAAACTGTCACGTGGAAAGAAATTTTTAAACAACTTGTGATCGAATACTTGTGCAGAATCCTTTTCCTGCCTCAACGACTGCAATTCAAACACAGTCAACGTAAGAGCCCTGTGACTCCCGCACTGGCAGTTTCGCTCAGATGAACACCCCAAGACTACCCAGGGTCTAGGCACGGGCCGGGGAGGGTTAAGACTCTGAGTCACGACAGGAAGTGGTAGACAGCAAAGGAGAGGCCAGGAGTAAGGTGGGAGCTGTGGAAGGTTGGGAGGCAGGAGGCAACTTCGAATTTGGGCTCACCCAAAGCCGTAGGGTCTGCCCTTCTAAGTCGGAAACCGCTAAAAAGCAAGCGGACTCTCTGCGATCGAGGCTCGCAACATGGCCACATATGTGGGGGGAAAAACCCCCCAAAAAACGTGTTTCGAAGGACTTCCCGCCATCCCCGGCCAGTCCCAGAGACAGCAATCCCTCCTCATGCTGTCGCCCGCCGAAAAGAGAAAGAAGGGAGCTGAGGAGCGGACGGTCGCCCCGGGGGTGAACCGACCCTCATTCCGGGATGGGGGCAACAGGCCCTGCAAAACAAGGCCCGCCGCTCTCGCTCCTCCCGCCGGCCGCCACAGCCCCTCGGAACCCTTAGCCGCCCAGCCGCAGACCGGAGTGCGGGTCCCCTCTGGCAGTGGCGGACCCCGACCCTCTCAACCCGCTCCGCCCCTCACCAGCTGCCGCAGCCACCTCCAACTGGCGCCGCTTTTGGGGCCCAGTCTCCCCGCCGGGGGGTGCGGTTCTCTGTCTGACTTCATTTCCGGTGTGGGCCGGAGGGGCGGGGCGGTGGTTGAGTGGGTGGGTCTGGCTGAGAGAGAGCCCGCCCAGAGCCAGAGCTTCCGGCCGGGCTCAGCAGCTTCCGCCCCGGGTCGTGCCCGCTTCCGCCACATGGTAGGTGGGGCTACTGGAGAGCTGAGCAGTAGGACGGGAGGCAAGGAAAGGAGCCCAGTTGCGAGCAAGAGTCATCGTGGCTCAGGTGTTGAATGGAGTAGACCCCGCAGGCTAGCCTCATCTCCCTAGTGGGCGTCAGAAAGTTGGGCGCTGAAGATTTATTAGGTTGAAGAGAAGTGGATCTTGATTTTTACCCGTAAGGGTTGGCATAACTTTGAATGGGAACCGTTTTGCATTAAGTTACTCAGAGCATTAAAAATATACTTGCCTTGAACAATAAAGCAAGTAAAGTAGTATTGGATTATAGCTCAAGTATAACAAAAATTCATGATCCCATACTAATGTAAGGGAGTGGCAAAGTTAATAAGTGGGGAGGAGATAAATTTCCCACAGAAAACTCCTAATTTGTGTATACTGCATCCACGAGCAACTCCCAACTCCTTGTGTGACTTCCTTCCAATGGGTACAGTATGCAAAGGGGGCAAAATGAGTGACTTTATGGTGGACAAACCTGACAGGCACTATCTCAGCCTGATGATCAAGGTTAGCATCAACAGTGATGCATCATGTGGAGTGTGTGCACTTGATAAACAGTGAATGGCACTTTATAGTACTTTCCTTCCAAAACTCACAACTCTAGTCTAACTGACACAGAGACCACCATCGGTGCAGAGGAAAAAACAAGTCCTGGGCCTTTAACTTGCTACTCATTAAAAGCATAATTTGTGTTTTCTTCTGAGGCAGTATGGGACTTAAAAAAAAAATGACCACTTGGACCTATAGATGTCCAGTAGGTAACAAAAATCAGAACAAAGCTTGACTTCCTCTTCTTCCTCCTCCTCTTCCTCCTCCTCCTTCTTTGATAGCCTTTGTTACCTTAAAACTTTGAGTCAGATACCATCTCAACTCTGCATACAAGCATGCTAATCATTTAGGGAGTATATGTCTGCCTAAAACTTGGCAAAATGGGGTTGATTAGCCCTGAATTTACATAGTGTCATCCCCCTTTAAGACTGAAGATACAAAGATAAGTAATTTACAGAGACATTCAACTACACCAGAAGTCTTCACAGTCCTGGCACTAAACTGAAGGTCACCTTGGATTCCAGCAGAACCTCACAAGATTGAGATTTCCCCATGCAAAAATATCTTTTGGGAACCAAATTGTCCTGCATGTCACAAAGATTCCTTCAGATCTATGGAAACTCAAACTGGAACCTGACCCATTTCACCTAATCCTTAAACGTTGTGTTCTCTTTTGTGAGTGGGCCAGTGTGAACCTCTTCATCAGAGTGTGCTCCCTCCAGCTATTCAAACTGGAGTACTTTCCCATTTGCTCTTACTTTATTTGTTAGGGGATCAGCTTGCTCTTTGTCAAAGCTGTTCTCCTTTTTATTTTCTCTTTTAATTAAACTCTTTTCCTGTAAATTTGTGCTATAGCTTTAATTTCCATTATCACTAAAGCTAGGACCCACCCTAACTGCTGACATAATCATAAGAAAACAAACCCCAGTTGAGGAACATCATACAGAATGCCTGACCAGAATACTTCAAAATTATGAAGCTCATGAAAGACAAGGAAAATTTCCAGGAATGGTGGTGCATGCCTGTAATCCCAACACTCAGGAGGCTGAGGCAGGAGGATCACAGAGAGTTCCAGGCCAGCCTGGGCTAAAAAATGAGTTCAAGGCCAGGCTGGACTACATAACTGAACCCTGTCAAAAAAAGAAGAAAGAAAGACAAGGAAAAGTCTAAGAGTCTAAGAAATTGTCACAGCCAAGAGAAGCCTAAGGACACATGGCAACTAAACAGAGTGTAATTGTCTTATTACTTTTCTCTCATTGCTGAGACAAAATACCTGACACCCAGAAATCAGGAAGGACAGGTTGATTTACCTTACAGTTCGTGGGGATTTCGGTCCACATTTGGCTGGCTCCAAGGCAGAGTGGCACATGGCACATGGCAACTGTTCATGGTAGTGGAAAACAGCAAAAGCAGCAAGAGCACAAGGACTGGAGCAGCAGCAAGCAACCTCTTTCCCTCCCTGACATTGTATGCAAACTATCCGCCCCAGGGCAGGTGTAGCACTCACACCCATAATTCTAGCATTGGACTATGGATCAATCAAAAATCTCAAAGCCTGCCCCATGATTACATGAGGCTTTGGGGGGACATAGAGACACAAACCATAACAGTGATATACTGGATGGAATATTGGAATAGAAAATGCTCATTAGGAAAAAATAAAACATAGATAAAGGATGAAGTTGAGTTAATGATAAAGTATTAATATTGGTTAATTGTGACAAGGTGCTACCCTAACATAAGATGACAATAAGGGAAAGGGCGTAGGTTATGTGGAGATTGTAGAATCTTCATAATTTTTTTCTGTAGTGCTAGAGACCAAACTCAGAGTCCTTAGCACATGCTAAACAAGAACTCTATGCCTGAGCAACACTCCCAACTCAGAATCTTCATAATTTTTCTACAAACCTGAAACTATTCTAAAATTAAAAAGTTATTTGTAAACATGCATATGGCTTTTGGCTCAGAAGTTTTCCTAAAAATTTTAGTCTAAGAAAGACTTGGAAATGGATGCAAATATCTTAAATGCAGGTAAATTTATTTCTGCAGCATTGCTGAGGAGTGAAGAGACTTGAAAAATCCAGAACTGCTACTAAATGAGTTAATTAAGTTATGATCTATTTCTGCGATGGAATACCTTATGGCCTTATAGAACTGTTGTTATGGAAAGATATTTAATGACATAAAGTTACTGATTTATGATAAGCTATATTTCTGTATGGCTGTTATATTTAGTAAAAATGTGCTCAAAATGTAGTTTGAATATATTCATATATAAAAAATTAAAACTGTATTTGCATAAGAATATGACCAGAACAGTACACTATACAACATCCAAAATAGTTCTATTAAATGCCTACATTTCTGCCCTGTTGCTTTTATGAATTTTTAGGATTTCATGTAGGTGAAATTTACTGTATGAAGTAAAGAGAGGAGACAAAGATAACTCAGGTTTCGTGCCAGAGAGATTGAAAGACTGATCAGTGCTATCAGCACAGCTAGAGCAATCAAGACAAACTCAAGAGGAGTAGCTGGATCTAGTTGTATATGCCTCCGATCCCAGCACTGGATCAGATCTGGAAGGCTGAGGCAGGGGAATTGTAAGTTTGAGCTCAGTCTGAGCACTTAAGTGACTTAGCCCTGGGTACAGTCTCAAGAATGAGAAGGTTGGGAGAGAGGAGAGGACGAGGGAGGGGAGAGGTGGGAAGGGGTTTGATGGGAAGGTGATCACTTCTATTTTCTATTTTGGGTGTGCTGAATTTTGTTATTCCCACAGGACAGAAATATCCAACAGGTGTCCACAGCTGTAACCCCTCTTTTCTGCTTAAAACTCTTCAGCACAAATCGCATCAGTTCCTGTAATATCGGTTGCCTGCACTGGCACTGAAAGCTCCCAGATTTCTCAAAATCTTTTATTTTCTGCTTCTGCTAATGTCTCCATTTATATCCACACCCAGCATTTCCAACTTAGGATGTCAAAATAAAGCTTAGTTTCTTCCATAGTCCCTGTCAAATCTGCCCCTTTTCTACTCTTGCCTGTTTGGCAAACATCACCATAACTATGCACTCATCCAGGTGAAAAGCTTCAAAATAATGTTCAATTCTTGATTCTCTTTATATCCCTTTATTTAGTTAAATAGTAAACCTCAGTAATTCCATGCCTGCAGGATTCTAGACCCTTTCTCCCTCTTTCATTTTCATTTGCCATTTACCTCATCTGGGCAGGTGCCATCTTACTGGTCTTCCCACTTTTGGTATCTTCCCAGAAAAGCCATTCTCTACCCTGGTGCAACAGTTAGTCTCCTAAAATATAATTTGGATCATGTCACTTTAGCAATCTTTCACTTCTTCCTGTTTGCTGCTTGACACACCATACTATTTGCTCATTCTCAAAGCTGGAATTTGGGATGATTTAAAGGCTCAATGGCAAGGTCACTTCTATGAAGATTTCCCTTTGCTTGCCCTCTCCTTTGGCTCCTCTTTCTCAGTTCTTGCCAGAATCTTCATTACAGCATTTTCTTCATTCATCTTTGAATTAGAGGCAATTAAGTAGATGTTTGCCTGCCCAACTAAATCATTCACCCAACAAATATTTCCTGAGAACCCACAACATACTTGGCTTCATGATAAATAGATTAAAAATTAAATAAATACTTGTTCACTAGAAGCTAAGTTAGGAAAATTAGAAGTACTTGCCTCAGTCATATATACATATAGATATAGATACAGATATTAATATAGATAGATATATAGATTTGTTTTTGAAATAGGGTCTCACTATGCAGTTCAGGGTAGGCTCGATCTCACTGTGTAATAGTCCTGGCTGGCCTCAAACTTGAAGCCACCCTCCTCCCAAGTGCTAGGATTACAGTCCTGGCACAGTCATTTCTTTTAATGTTACTGAGGATATAATGCAGGGCATTGCAAATGCTAGGCAAGCCCTCCACCACTAAGCTACATTCCTAGACTTTTTTT